CTTCTGTGGATGCCTGAAATGCTGTGTCTTATGAAAGCAGCGCTTGGGATACAAAACAGCACCTTTAGGAAAGGACTGGACCAGAAAACAGTAAAGTACACTTTTTAATTTCATGCATGTTTGCTTTGATAGTTGCTTTTGTTCCTATCGCTGTACAATTGTTCGGTGCAAAGGGAGCCAGCATCCGAGGCCAACACAGATAGACAGTACTGGAGACCACAGGGGAGACAGATGAGGGGCTTCATTTTGAGACTTAACCACAAAAGAGTCAATTTGTTCCAAACTGATAAGAACTCAAATTATTGCAAGAAAGTAGGCCCTATCACTCCCAGAGTCTGAGAAGGGTCACTGGAGGTGGAGAGCCATCCAGGTGACATGGACCTCTTCCCAATTGCTTGTACATTCTGGCTGGGATTCCCTCCAGCCTGTAACCATTGGAGGACCCTGTCTGCCTGGTCACTAGGCAGCAGCCTGGGGCCAAGAGCCTGCATTCCCCTGAGTTCTGTGAAGTGGCCCTAAAGGATAAGCTGGGATTCTGCCATAAGTTTCCTTACAGTGGCCTTGCCATCTGCTTAGGGGCTTGGCTTTTGTGTAGAATCCCGCCATCATGCCCTGGCCATGTGACAGTTAACAAAACCCTTAACCCAACTCCTTTGGGGAGAGTTTAACCCAACTCTGTTTCTCAGAGCTGCCCCTCTTCTGCCACCTGTCCCTGAGAAGTGCTCCAGGCTCCACAAGGATCCTCCACTGGGCAGCCTTGTTCATTCCAGTTTGAATAGGTGCTTGCAGTATTGGCTGTAACATGCAAACAAGCAGACTAATGTATTTCTTATGTGCTCATCTGTGAGGTTGGTAACATTGGTGGTGTGACTAACCTAAGACATTTATTCTATGAAACCAGCAAAGAAGAAAAATCTTGCTGCCAAAAAAGGCACTAAATTCATACTGACAGTACAAGTCGAAGTCTTAAAAATATGTCACATTGTTTTGGTACATTAGTCTCAGAGTCCAAGGAAGAAACAAGTAAGTGGGACTTAACATGTTAACTTTTTGTTACAGAAGGTGAGGGAGGAACATGCTCATTTAACACAATGAAGTGATGTAGATGAACACATTCTGGAATTCAATCCGCCAGTAACGAGATTATTCAGTGGAGTTGTAGTCCAAAAGGGCAGTGGCTTTTTTTTCCTGCCAGCGGTGCTCCCCAGCAGCCATAGTGTGGGAGATCCCTGCATAGAACAATGCTGTGATCCTGTCATTCTCCTGTCAGCACTAACTCAAGACCAAGTTTAGGAAATTAGGAGCTTAGAACTGGGAGGGCAAACAGATACCTCCTTGCACAAATTCCAAGCAGGTGAATAGTTGTTGTTCCAAATGTGTTGAAAAAGGCTCTTAGGCTCTATACAGGCTCAGTAGGAAGGAATATGTGGTGATCAATAAATAACATTGGTCTTGGGTATTTAGGCTGGAGGTGGTAGATGGTAGATGGTGGAGGAAGGTATGTGGTGGGATTTTGGTTTCCAACTTAGTGGAAAAACAAAATAAAACATAGCATGCTATACTGCAGAGCAGGGTAGGAATTCCTTGGATTCCAAATATGATGATCTATTCTGGAGAATTCAGTTCCAGGAAGTTCAAGTAGGAATATTTTAAGGAAAGGGGAAAAAGACAACAAGGGCATGGGAAAAAGAGAGTACATGACTCGATCAATAAGGACACATTCACCCCTAAAGAATGTCAGTGCTGCACAATCAGGGACAGCACTTAAAAACTGGGTTGATATCAGGAAAACCCCAAACCATCACTTAGGGCAAGATTGAAATTTAGCACAATGAAGCTGAAATGGATGTCCAGTACTTATTACATCTTACTAAAATTAAGTCAAATCTGAACTCAAGTAGGCCATCCCAGGTCATCTTACAACAGAGCCAGCATCTTCGCCTTTCTGACTACAAGCTCCCCACACTCTTGCAAATGGGTCTAAACTTCTGTGGGGGTAAGGTCTTTTATAATTTCAAAGTAGATGCAGGCCTCTCAATCCTTCTGCTAAGCAATTTTAAGAGGAATTATTATTCAGAGAACATGATCTAGAAATAGAAATCAGAGCCAAATGTTCTGTAACACAAATTAGAACTCATTATCTTGCAGTCAGTCAAAAACAGGTGTTAAATGAATGTGGACATTCATCCCAAGGTGGTTAAACTTCCCATCAACAAAGCTTGAAACCGTAGTCCTGTGAGGTTCCTTAAAGCACTGTCGCACAGTTGTCAGGACTGAAGAATTAGCTCGTGAATTCCCTGGGCTCCTGATTCAACACTCTTCAGATGACCGTGGAGTTGTTCTAAAATACACACCAATTCAAAACTGCCTTGGTTAGCTCAAGGGCAGGGCAGGACTGGGACAGAGAAAGTGTTTCTCTTTGTAACGTAGACTAATGACACTATTCTCTGAAGCCTCTACTAACTTCAAAAAAAAAAAAAGTTCACTGAGGGGCTTTATTCAACTCTTGACAAAACAGTGAATGACTGAAGATTTAACATAGTCTACTAGCCTACTACCTTGACATGCTCTGAGTGGTTAATCCAGACAAGGTATATGGCATTATCATGACAGACAGTCAAGATGGGAGTTCAAAAAACTTAGCAAAATTATGAGGTATCAGGTGTGGTTTTTCTAGGAAGACCATCACTGATGGGTTTAAGACAGACATTGATCCACATGTTTCTCTTTTGCCATTACAGGTGGGCAAGAACTGGACAAGCTGAGATGTGTTTTATGTTGGACAGAAAGAAGACAGGGTTGTAGCTTCTCAGTTCCCAAAAGCAATGAACCAGAGAGATCCACAGAACAGTGTGGTCTCAAGTCCTAGGATGGAAACTACAGCCTTTGAAGGTACTTTCTAGCCCTGTGACCCACTAAGTGACAAGGCCTCATTCTGGAATTTCTCTAGTCTTGTTATGGGAAGACATCACAGCTAGACATTTGATGTTATACCATATATGTACCTTTTTTTTAGTCTCCCTGCTAAATCCAACTAGGAGGAAATAAGGTTGGTTTTGTGGGGTCTGGCCAGATGGAGATTACAAACTATGTTGCCATTTCTTGAAACTCTCTACCCATAAACCCTTGGTAGAAACTTTCTAGGTCTGTTCCTCTCAGGGCATTAAATAATTCTTTTTTTGCTTCTAATGTAGTCCCATGATTTTATTTCTAAAGAAAGTTGAGAAAGTTTACAGCTTTTGAAGTATTTGTCCATCCACTCAGTCATCTGCCCACCAGGAACTTTCAGAGCAAGTCAAAATCACAACGTATCTACTGGGCTCCAGGGCAGAACACCAACCCTCAGATGATTGTTGTTGTACAAAGAAAAAGCAGAAATACAAGTGAGCTGAATACCAGGGAGCTCCCAAATGGAAGTTCCATTTTCATTCCTTCATAAAAATCCATAATAATTCATGGTTAGCAATAAACACATTGTGCTACACTGTAAACCACACCTTCTGATCAACAGAAAATGAGAATGATAGTAATTATAAAATAAAATAACAATGATAATGCCATAACTTAAGATCTTTTGTGTAGTCCAGCCACAGAATTTATACAAAATGGAATAATTTAATGCAAACAATACTGTTCTCTGTATAAGTTAAACATTTTCCTTCATCCTACCTAAAAGCTATAAATTATAGACACTAAATTTTAAATCAGTGTCACAAAATAAAGTGTAAACAAGTGGAGGGACTGAACAAGCAGAAGGAACTGCTCTACATTCTCTCCTGCCTTTCCTTTTTGGCTGATGTAATCAATGAAACCCAGAGGAAGGCAACATTTTCATCTGCATTGGAAATGTTTTAATACCTGTATGTGTAAATCTTTCTTCATGTTCAATATGATGCAATATCAAAGAGGCTAGCTATCTTCTTCAGGTCTTGAGCCTAGAAAGGTTGTCTGACAGTAACCTCTCTTAGAGACAGACATAGGAACTAGGCCAACATCTGTGTTTATTTTAAATTCTAGATAAAAATTTCCTTAAGGCCAATGAAGTACCTTGGGATGCTTTTCAGAGCCCATAATCCTGGAAACAGGAAGGACCTCATGCCTTGGACAATGTAAAGTCTTTCTAACTGCTGCTCAGCATCAGTTCTTTTGTAATTTCCAATCCATATATTCAAAACTGCATTGATCCAAAGTGAAGTAAAATACATTTTACAAGTAGCATTTAACAAAAATGCTATTGTGGTGGGAGGGGGGGTTGCCTTTTGCAAGTTGCTTATTTTGCTTTTATTCTGATAGTGTAGCCAGTCACTAAAGCTTCCAGGATGGAATGAGTTAATGAATAAAAACAGGAGGGATGGTTTGGGATTGGACATTGGACAGACTCACACATATCCTAGCTGCCTTCAAAGTCTGTTCTGTTTGTATCAGTAGGACTCTTAATAGACAAGCAACCTGATTCCAGAGAGGGGTGATCCCATCTTCTCCATGTAGCTGAACTGAGACATTGAGAATATGTACTTTTACAAATTCCACATTTGCTTTTTGAACACTGTTGTGAATTTCCTTTTCCCCATTCTTCTCTCCTCCCAAGTCCCCTGTTCTTTTTTTTCTCTAAAGGAAGTAGTCAATAGGTGGAAAGGAAATTGGCTGTAAGAAAGTGGCACTTAAGTCAGAAAAACAAACACATTGGTCAAGGTAGCACATTTGGCAAGGTAATGACACTGAGAGCATTAAAGCGGGAAGTGTTTGTGAAGGACCAGGTTTGAAGCTATCTTCAGTCTCACTACCAAATGCTGCTTAAAATTTTAAAAATGAAATCAGCTTCTACATACACAGTTTTCTTTTTCGTCCTAAAGGAAACACATGCCCTCAAAAACCTCGTGTGAAGGAACCTGGTCACAAACTTTTTCTAAGCCATTTCCATCACCCATCTGAATAAGCTGGTTCAACTTAATGTGGTCTGTTCACATTACCTGGAATTGCTTTTCTTGTGCTGTTCTTTGTTTCCTAAAATGCTCAGTATGTCTTCCTCTGGCTCTTCTTCATTTACTTACGGCCAAAAGAACTGGTCCCCTGTTCAAGTAGCAACAATACCTCCTGGCCCCACAAATTCCCAAGGATGTTGCTCCTAAATTCCATTTCTTTTCTTTCTTGCTTTCTTTTTTTCTCTTTCCCTTTTTTTTTTTGCAAGAAATTATTGTGTCTCTCTATATATCATATATAGTTCACTCTTTACAGTACAAAGTGTTAAAATGTCAAACAAAAATAAATATCAATGTTACAGTAGCTAGAATATTCAATAAAATAGATCCCTGCCATTCTTGATTGAAATGTTCGGTGAGACTTAATTTCATTTGGGTATTTTTTTTTCCAGAGATTTGCGAAGTCTCACGTTCTTGTTATTGCAGCTCATTTCTAGGGTAAGAAAGATGGGGCAGCTCTCTTCCCAGACAAAAAAGCAGGGAGAGAGTGGGAAGAGTCTGAGGGTGGGGTGGATTTGAAATGCCAGCAGTCATGAGATCTTCAGGATCAGTGTTCCTTCATTACCACGTGGCAGAACTGTAGTGTTTATTGGTCCTAACTGTGGCATCAGAACACTCCCCCTCTGAAGAGTCACAGTCTGAGTCTTCAAGCTGCATAGGATTCTGCAAAGTCAAGACAAAATAAGACCTTAATTCATTTCTGCAGTCACTCGGTAAACATATATTGAATGCCTCCCACACAATAGGCACAGTGCTGGGTTGCTGGCTAAGGGGGTGGCAGAGATAAGTGAGCCCAGGAGAAAGGAGACATAAAAAGACGATGGTGACCATGCTAAGGGACCACCCAAAGCCCCGCCCATGCAGTGTTTCCTACACTCCAGGCACAGCTGTCAGGGCTGCACATCTATTAATCCATTTAATCCTTGCCAACTCTATGAGATAGATGCTGTTATCACACCCATTTTACAGATAAGGAAACTGACGTGCACAGAGGGTAAGTGTGTTGCCCAAGTTGCACAGTAAGTGGGAAGGCTAGGATTTGCACCTAGGCAGCTGGATTCCTGGGTACCCACTTTCAAACACTCTGCTATCCTGTCTCTCAGAAGGCAGCACTCTATTTGAACTAAAGTGTTAACATGTGCTATGATAGCAGCATCCATGGGACAGTGGGGACGTGGAGGAAGGAGGCTCATGCCCTTCGTCAGGGTGGGAGAGGGGGCTGGGAGGAGGTGAGATCCGAGTTGAATTTTAGGACAGAGGGTTCCAGAGCAGCTCAGTGTGCCTCACTGGGAAGAACTGCCCTCATTTCAGGAGCTCTCTCGGTCTCCGCACTCCCACTCACTTCCTGAAGGCTACTGTTTTATCTTATATACTGAGGGATAACTTTAAGGCCCTAGGGACCTGAGCCTGTTTTAACAGAAAAGAACTACAGGAAGGGAAAAGTGACGAGGTGAGAAGGAGAAGCCCCCACCTCATAGCCCCGTTCCTCTGTGCACAGCTTGCCCAGAGACATCTGCGTCTTCACGCGGCGCACAGCACACTCTTTGTCAGAGAGCCCATCTGAGTGGGAGGATATCTCAATGGGGATCTCCGGCGTCTGGGACAGCAGGTCATCTAGCTTGTCCGCCAGGTGGTCTTCAAGTTTGTCCACTAACTCGTCAGGACTGTTTGAATGGTCACTGGTATTGCCCTCTTCTCCGTCAGACACAGAGAAATTCTCGGAGCTGAAGGTTGAGTAAGACTGGCAGCTGCGGATACAGCGATGGGGCCTAGAACCACAAAAAACCAAAGGAGCTCAGTCACAGGACAGCTCCTTTCCTTTCCTTGTCTGTCAGCCACAGCCATGGTGAGAGGGCATCTAGGTTCTCCCTGCCCCTGAGAGATTCAAATTCAGATAGGCAGACACTATTTAATTTTAAGGCAGCAGAAGGGGAAATTTGGTTTATATGTTGATGTGGCTAACCCACATTCCAACACTAATGGCTACCACTGGTCTGAAAAAAATCAGCTGGTCTGATCACACTGTGTACACTTATGCATGGGATGGAAATGTTCAGATTGAAATTATGTTTCCTGTTCATGGAATCCTAGATTCTCACAATAATGAAACTTGGGAGATGCTCTAGTCTAATTCATTTCCCAGATAGAACACTGGAGCCAGAGAGGGGAAGTGACTTGTTTCAGGTCATACCATCAGAGGTGGAACTGGGGCTTGGCTGGGTCTGCGCACACCCACTTCGGTGTCCTTCCCTGTCCCCCCACTCCACCCCAGCTGTACTGCCCATTGAGCTTGGCAGCTCTGGAAGGCAGAGTACCTTCACCACCCCTGATGACTGACCCATAACGGAAATAAGCTTGGAAGGAACATTCACCCTGTAGCTGGGGGTACTGCCCAGTCAGTTAATGGCTCATTCCAGTTAACATGGGGGTTTAGCTGTGATGAGGCAACACTTCTGGGGTGGGGATGTGGACAGAATTTGCCAAAGTTCCTTCTTTCTTTTCCATTGTTTATAAGTAGTCTAGCAAATAAGAATGCTGTTAGCCTACGTTGGTTTAAAAAGCAAAGCAAGTAATAAAAAGAAGACTGCCATTTCCCTCTGTCATTGTCTGATCTCTCTGTATTTCTTAGTCTTAAGTGATTTTGATGCCGTATGATCTGAGCCTGGATGATGACCAGGCCAGGTGATGGGCTGAGTTTGAAGGACCAAAGACACATGAAAGGCTGTGTGGGAAAGGGAAGTTAAGGGGGGACTCACACAACTTCTCAAGGCTGGTAATCCAGAAGGGAGACAGAGAAGAACCTTATGATTCAAAAAGCAAAACAATTACAGCAAAAAACAAAGGTGGGAATCCATTAGTTCATGGAGTGTCGTAGGAACAAAAGCTGGAAGTAACATAATTGATGTCAGTAGACTGAGTTCAAAGAATAAAAAGATACTTCACTTGGGCCCATTCTTACTGCATAGGAGAAAACATAGTGTCCAAGGAGACAATAAGATGGCAATAGCTACTTGTTAGGAATGCTCAGGGGATGAGGACAGATTTCAATTCTATGCAGAGCATGGGGACCCAGAGTACAATTTACCAAAGGATTAGGAGTTCCTTGGTTTGCAGAAAATTCCTATTTCTGGGTAGGTACATAACCTTCCTGGGGGACTCTTAGAGCTTTACTTTTCAAGAATAGAATTCCTATTATCAAAAAAGACCTCCTGGGAGGAAAATATTTTCCCTACTCCTAGTCCAGATGTAGGGGGATGTGCTCATTCCCTAATCCTACCAGCAAAATTATTATCAGGGGTTAAGAGGGAAGGTATTTCTAAGTCCAGGTTGAAGGAGGACTCAACCCATCTAATAATACTTAACTTGAGGCATAACATCCAAGGCACGGAGTGTGCTACAGCCTGAATTGTGTAACCCCCCACTCCCTGCTGAATTCATATGTAGAAGCCCTCCATCCTCTGTGACTAAATCTGGAGACAGGGTCTCTAGGAGGTAATAAAGGTCCAGTGAGTAATGATGGGGACCTAATCCCAAAGAACCTTATAAGAAGAGAAAGATCTCCTGCACCTCCCCTCTCCTTCCCTCCCTGTGAAGGCGCTGCGAGGAGGCTGCTGTCTGCAAGCCGAGAAAACAGTCCCCACTGGGAGCCCTTGATCATGGTCCTCCCAGTCTCCAAAAGTAGGTTAAATAAATTTCTGTTCTCTATGCTACCCAGCTGTGGTATTTTCTTATGGTAGCCTGGGAGGTATGCTAGTAACCAGTAAAATAACCTGTAAAACAGCATGGCCATCCCTCATTAAATGCCCACTATATTCTCAACTGTAGCCTTGAATCTGTATTTATGCTCTTTACCTTGAAGTTCCTGTGAAATGAATTCTAATGGACTGGAGTCTGCTGTGCATAGTCAGCTGCCAAAATATGGCAATGGGAAAATATGAACACAGTGAGTTGGAATTTCCCTGTAAGGTGGTTGTTAGAAAGTGCCCTGTGACTGAACAGGAGGTGGGGCAAATGTGGGATTTTCCCCCATTATACTGAAAGCAGCCATATATGTTCATTGGTGTTACCTCTGTCTTCGTGGAAATTCAACTTCACTATCTACTTCCCCTTCTTCCTCTTCTGAGGAATCATCGCCACTCTGAGAATAGGAGAAAAGAGTTTTATTTCTCTTCTTCTCTCTCTCTCTCTCACACACACACACACACTACAAACACATGTAAAAGATTTAATTATCATCAAGAAGTGCCATCTTTAAACTTATTTTCATTCATTAATTTGGCAACTTTTCCTGGGTGTCCATGGTGATTGGCCCTGTACTAGATGCCAGAAGACAGCATCTAACTGAATAAAATGTTATCTTTGCCCTCATGGATGGTCCATGAGACTGTCCAAGGTGAGTGATGGAGAGGGACAATTGGAGAGGCAGTCTTGGGATTTGGGAAATTACCATTGCTAGTATCTCCAGGCCCTGACATAGAGACTCCACCAAGAAGTGATCTGTCAGTTCTAACAAGCCCAAAGACTACCTTTTCTCCTTTTATGTACCAATTACCTTTTCACTAATATTATAGTTATGATACTTATGTTTTCTCCACTACTAAAGCATACTTTATTTAAGGGTCAAGCCATATCTTGTGGTACTGTATTCCTCACTCCACCATTAAATACAACACTGCACACAAAACAGGTGCTGAGTACATTATGGAGTCATGCTCATGGGGGGAGGGGGCTCTGATTGGGACATCTGAGGCCTCATGATTACGGGGCTCTGTGGTTGATCTGGAAGATTGCATAGGTGTCCTGTCTGATGAGGTAACCTTCTTTCACAAGGAAGATTCCGTCTCTATTCAAGGGCGTAAGAGTAGCCACATTTGAGATCAACTGTCCTTAACCACAGCATCACCGGATTACTATGATCCCTTGTGAGTTAGGTAACTGGGGCCAAGTAATTGTGCCAAAGATTGAAGATAACTTACTTTTAGAGTTGGTTCTCATCTACCATTACTCTTACCCATTAGTTTACTGTGCACTAAATATTTTTCATACATAATCTTTTTTTTAACTATTAGCTAACATTTTTGGAAGGTAGTTATGTGCCAGGTATTAGTATTCTGATATGCTTTTCTGAGTAGGAAAGACAGGGATGGAGTTAATCCTGACTGTGGAGATATGTACTTTACCTTGGGTGTACCAGTGGGGGCATATCTCTGGAAAGAAAAGTTGAACTGCTCTGTGGCAGTGCAGTTCTAATGAGGCCAAATGTATGAGGTGTGCATTCCGTAGCCTGGCCCCCAGATGGCATGAAAATGGCATCAGACTGGTTCAAAGATACATGTTACTTGGGAGGGGACTTAGGATGGGGTGACTGCTATTGGGGAGATGAAAATATTCTAAAATAGATTGTGGTGATAGTGACACAACTGTGAATAAAAGCACTGAGTCATACACTTACTGGGAGAACTGTATGGTTTTGTGGTGTGGTATGGTGAATTAGATCTCAGTAAAGTTGTTACTGAAAAAATACATGTTACTGGCCATAGGGGTGGGGGGAGTAGAGAACAGATTACCTCAAATCCACTGCCCCACCTGAAACAATTTAATCTCTGGGAATGCTTAGTCAGTAGCAGAACTGCATGTGGAGGAAGAAATACAGTTCTGAGACAGTAGCCCTCAGTTTCAGCTTCTTTTCTATTAAATGCTAATTGACCAAGACATACTCATTTATATTTTAGGCCCTTTCATTCCTTCACCTAAATTCCTGGTGAATGCTGGTGATGAGATGAAGCAGTACTTAGAACTGAGTGGGTGTTTACTGGGCACTAAATATTTTTCATATATAATCTTATTTTTAACTATTAGCTAACATTTTTGGAAGGTAGCTATGTGCCAGGCCCTGGTCTGAATGCTTTATATGTATTAACTCATTTAATCTTCACATCAACCAGTGAGGCAGGGGCCACTATTAGCCCCATTTTATAGACAAGGTCTAAGTGGAAAAGCCTGGCTTTGAGCTTAGTTGCAACCTACTCCCAAGCTCATGCTCTTAACCACTATGGCAGATTGCCTCCAAGCTAATAAGCCCAGGCAGCCAGTAGGCTAGGAGATGAGGAACAGATTTTAATGACTGAGAACTGGCTGGGTCATGATGGTTATTAGAAAAGGCCACATTTCCCAAAATGTATTGTAAAGAAAGCTAGTTCCATGGGGATTAATAGATGTTATTTTCAAAAGCTAGTATGGCCAAACAGATGAGGAAAATGCTGCATTAAATAAGGTTAGTGCATGATTTCTCAAAGCCTAGGATTTGTTAATGTACACTAGGAATCTTCCAAGAGTGGACAGAGAATACTGTTTCCCAAACTTGTTATATAATGGGGTACTTCCTTCTTACAGCATCTGTCAGGACCAGGCTAGGGTAGTAGTTTCCCAACTATTTTGATGAAATATCCATCATATATGGTTATTAATCTATCTATAAGTTATATATATTTGAATCTGGTTCATTAGTTCCCGAAGTGTATTCTCTAATTCATCACTTAAGTAGTATAGAAAGTATTTAAAGAAACTTGTTTAGGCTTTTGTTATCTTATCCTTTTACAAAATGTACAGCTGTTATGTATGTTTTATAATGTGCACAGTGGGATCTGACATTCCACGAAGGCAGTGATGTCATTATAGCTTACCTTCTGAAGGGGCCTTATTTTTCGAGGTAGCATGGGGGGTGTGATGTGATGAGGGATGCCAAGGGATGATGCAGACCTACAGCCACTGAATTCATTTTTTTCTGTTTTCTCAGGAGCGTGGCCATTTTCTGAGATGGAATTGTGTGCTGGTGACTTGGAAAGGTCTGGGCCCCTCCCCACCGGCTCAGCAGAGGGCATGTCTGAGGACCCGCACTGGAGGCAGGGGTCACAAGGGTCAGCCTGACAACAGCCCCAGGGGCCAGGCAGGCCCTTGTCAGGCTCAGACCTTCTCCAGCAATCCGCTGCCATGGCTGTGGAGATGAGGTCAGGGCTAGAGCCGGGCATCTGTCTTTGAGCATGGTTGCTGAGTGGGCTCCGCAGGGCTGCTGCTGGGCCAAAATACCTCAGGTTGTTGGCACAGGCTGCAATGTCCTGTCCATGCATACTGAGTCTGGGATGGTGGCTCTGAGAAATGGCAGGAGGTGGTCGCTGGTATTGCTGCTGCAGAGGATTATGGTGATGGGGAGTAGAGTACTGGGCTTGAGCCTGGCTCAGGTGAGTGGGATGGGGTGAATTTTCCTGGGCTGGTGGGTTTTTCAAGATTGCTGCAAAGTCACTATGGCTGCCCCTACTATTCCCTCGGCGGTGGCGTGGTTTGCTTCGGTATCGGCTCTTGCTGCTAGAGGTGGACATTTTGGGACTTCCAGACAAAGGGGATGCGGCAGGAGCCACCTCCATACTGGGGATACCTTCAGATCTCAACAGATCTGGCCTGGAAAGAAAGAATAGGTTTTTAAACTTTTGAAAACACACTCAAATTTGTGGGAATATAACCCAAACCTTAAAACACACACACCCTTTGAATCAGCAGTCACATATACAGAAGAGATTTATCCAATGGAGATAACGGATGTGCACAAAGATGTAATGTTATAATGTTGTTTAAAATAGCAGAAAGAAACAACCCAGATGTCTACTTTTAGAGGATTCCCTTTATTCTTTATGGACTTTATTCTGTATCTCATTAGCTGAGGTCCTCAATCCCCTTTAAATTCTAGTTCTACCCTACAGGTTCGATCTCTTCCTTATAATTTCAGCTGTCAGCCTGGTGCCAGTATGTCAAGGCAAGGGCATGGGGATTTGTCCACAATCAGAAATCTGTCTGATGACCCGGATAGATCCCATGAGGAACCACAAAAGTCAGAGATCTGCTACTAGAGAAGGAAACCTTAGGTTAATCAGGCAAGACGCTAACTTGGAGTCTGGTCTAGACACACTGTCCTTGAGGGCTGGGCCTATGTCATTATCCATCTTTGAATGTGAAAGAACTGAGCAGGAAGTCTCTGGCTTATAGTAGGTCCTCAAAATTGGTTTACAGAAGGAGATAAAAGGGGTGGGGGCAGAGGCAGAAGGAGTAGAGAGCCCAGGAGATGAGCAGAGCCAGCAAGGGAAGGGCACGTGAGAAGCGACATGGTGTTGTACTGACTCTCAAAAGGAATTTGTTCCTCTCACAGCCTGCTTCCAAGGGCCCACGGGGCTGTCATGCAGGCTCCATGCAGGAGTAAGCCAGCACCTGAAGGTCAACCTGAAGCACACTGACTTCAAGGCCCTTAGGAAACAATAACGGTTTTTGAACTGAAAACCTGATTCAAGGCAGAGAGCCTAGGACATCAGGTAGTCCCACTCCTTCCTTCCCATCAGAGAGAAGCCTCACCCTTTGGGACCAGACAGACCCAAATCAGCAGGAGATTTCAGAATGGGAGGGCCCAAGCTTTTTTTTTTTTAATGACAGAATTCTTTTCTCAAATGAATTATTATGAGAAATCCAGTATATAAGACAGATATAGTAAGATAACAAATTGGTGGTTGCCAGAGGTGAGGTGTGGGGGATGGGTGAAATGGGTGAAGGGGGTCAAAAAGTACAAATTTCCAGTTATAAAAAAAATAAGTCCTGGAGATCAATGTATAGCATGGTGACTATAGTTAATAATACCGCATTGTATATTTGAAAGTTGTTAAGAGAGTAGATCTTAAAAGTTCTCATTCTTTTTCTCAAAAGAATGAGAACTCTCAAAAGAAAAAAAATTGGAGTGGAGCCAAGATGGCGACGTGAGTAGAGCAGCGGAAATCTCCTCCCAAAACCACATATATTTATGAAAATATAACAAAGACAACTCTTCCTAGAATAAAGACCAGAGGACACAAGACAACATCCAGACCACATCCACACCTGCGAGAACCCAGCGCCTCGCAAAGGGGGTGGGCCAGGTGACTAAGCTGTCGTCAGCAGAGCACAGAAGGGATGTGTGCTCTCCCAGGCCCAGCCAATGAAAACCTCCTCCATGATCCTCTAGTTTCTCCGGGCACCTCCTACCAGCTGCCTGGTGACACCAGCACCCAAAGCAACCTCGGGAGCCTCATGGTGAAGACGGCAGCACCTGTCAGCCTGGGTGCCTCTAGTGAGCGGCAAGGCAGATTCTCCCCTGCGGAAGCTGGACCTTCCATGAGTGGAAATACACTTCCATTGCGCTATCGTCACAATCATGAAATGTATGTTATAGTTGCCAGCATTACATGTACTTGAATCGTCCACAAAGATAGAGCACGTATCTCCATCTGAAATGGACTGGGGCTCCCTTCCCGGGGAGACTTACATGCTTTTAAATAAGCAATGGAATGGAAACCTGCAGATATGAAAGAGACACACAGAAGTCTGTCCCCTTCCTCTCAAGACAATGCCAACACGAAGGAGTCACCCACACCGCTTTCTGTTTTCCGCTGAGGAAATGTTTTCAAAGGTCTGAGCCACACAGGATCTTCCATTTCTTATGACCGCCGCCAGCTCAGTGGTGGGCAGGCATGGGGCATGAGGAATGGTGGATTCTGAGGGCAGCCAGATCCCTTGTTCCCGACTCCCCTGGATCACACTGCCCTCACGCACATTCCACTGTGGAGCTGGTCGCATGGGGCTGGAAATGCCTTACCAGGCAACTGTTTTCCAGCAACGAGTCAGAGCCATGCAGTAGGTGGTGAGACGTTCTGCCCTTGCGGCATGAGCTCCCCAGCTCAGCGAGGACAAGGGACTCCAGAGGGCAGAGGCCAGCTGCCACAGATAGCACAGGCAGCACGAACCACCGGACCCAAGCGCCAACTAGATGATTTTGCCCCCGTTACCTCTGGTGGTGGCTATAAAATCCCAGAGTTTCTAAGAACAAAAGAGGTGCAGGGTGTATTCATTTCCTAGGGTGCCATAACAAAGCTGCACCGACTGGGTGGCCCAAAACAGAATTTATTGTCTTAGGTCTGGAGCCTGAAAGGTGGAAATCAAGGTGTCGGCAGCGACATGCTTCCCCTGGAGGATCCAGGTGAGGAGGCTCCTTGCCTCTCCCAGCTTCCAGAGGCTGCCCGCACCACTCGGCCCTCCTTAGCTTCCTTACAGCTGCCAACACCCCCTGGACCCGCTGTCACATGGCCATCCTCCCTCTGTGTCTGTGTCTGTCTCTTTTCTTCTCATAAGGACACCTGTCATGTTGGATCAAGGGCCCGCCCTTCTCCAGTATGACTTCATCTTTAACTTCCATCACAAATACACAATTTCCATGTAAGGTCATGTTCACAGGCACAAGGGTTAAGACTTCACTATACCTTTGGAGGGACACAATTCAACCCAAAACAGGCAGCCATCCAAAGCATTATTTGATCTATGTAAGTGGAAAATCTCTGGGTAAGTTAAACAGAGATCTATCTCGAATCATTCCAAGAGAGTCAAAAACTCTCACTCAATTTGCAAACCTGAGCCAGTTCGCGGACCTGGAGTCCTTGACTGAACAGGGGGCTGGGCCTCCTTGAGAAAAGCCTGCAGTACTGCCATGGGTGTGCCATGGACCTTCGTCCCCAGAAGGTATACAGCATAAAAAGTGGTGACCATTCCCTCAAACAAGGTAGTTACCAGGTCTTTTGTTCAACTTTTTCTTTTGAAGTGATGTTAGAGTTACAGAAAAGTTGCAGAGAGAATATAAACATGCCTGTTTACCTTTCCCCCAGCACCCTCTAATATCTTATATACCATGGTAACTTTGTCAAAACTAAGACATTAACCATAAAACTATTAATTAAACTAAAAAAAAAAAAGAAAAAGAAAAAAATTGTAACTATGGGTGGTGATGGATATTAACTAGACTTATTGTGGTGATCATTTCACAGTATATACAAATATGGAATCATTATGTTGTCATTACATTGTATACCTGAAACTAACATTACATGTCAATTATATCTCAGCCCTCTCTCCTCAAAACCCAGATCTAGTGGAACAGTTGGAGGGGGTAGGAGAGCAGAAGCCTCTCCCTGCAAGACTCCCCCACTCCTCGTCCTCTCTACCGTTGCAGTCATCTCTGAGACTCCTGTCCACAAGCCCTCGGGTGTCCCAGACTTGCTGGGAAATCACATAGAGTCCTGCCTACCATACCCACCCCATGTGACAAGGAACCTAAAGACCAGCCTAAGTATCTTGTGGTCTCACGGCTCGTTACTGGTAGAATACAGACAAGAGTCTCTTCTGATTCCCAGTGTGGATTATTGGACAGAGTACAAGCTTAAAGGTGTGTAGAAATCAGCTGGGAGTTTATCAAAATGGTTGAGTAGGTCCAAGATGGGGTCTGAGATTTGCATCTCCAACACACTCTCAGGGGATACTGAACTAAGGACCATGCATTGAAAAGCCAGGGCTCATAGGAAATTTGTAGGCATCAGGCTGTAGGAGATGGGGTTTTCTTCTCTCTCAGGAGAAGTACAGTTACAGGCTTGTCTTAGCACAGAAGTTCCAGGTGCTGTTGGTTTCTGATCAGGTTGGTAGGTATTGTGCTGCTTTGGCCTCTTCCTGTCTCAGATTCACAGTTCTGTGCTCAGCTGGCTAATTTGTGCCACACAAGGTATCTGGATTGAGGAGGTCCTGAGGCTCTTACTGAGGCAAGAGCTCTCTAGGAGCATTAGTGGCATCTACTTACACAGTGACTGGCCACTGGGGAAGGGGGGGCTTTAAAAGAGACTTGAGGGGAAAGGGTCCTAAGTCAGGTGAAGTCTCTTTTATTGACACTGGCAGTACAAAAATCACACAATAATATTGATACAGTACTTCACAGTTTACAAAGCACTTTACAATTTACCTAGAAACACCTGTATCCTGCCATTACAATATTCATTTTACAGATCAGGGCCCTGAGGGATCAAAGGGGTAGTTGGCTTGTGTCCATCACAAAGAAATGAATGGCAGAACTCACAACCTGAAACCACCTTTTGACAACAAGGAAGAGTTCTTTCCCTATTCCAAGCTTCTCCTTTTTCTGAGACATTTAGATTTTCATATTGGATTATACTCACTTGTGACAGGCTTGGTGGGTACATTATTGAACTCTGACTCTCTTCTTTTTAGTCCCTAACTAAACACAAACTGAAACCTAGGTTAAAGGGTGGTGGATGGTTTCTCTTCTCTGATCTCTTCAGAGGGCACTGGACTTCGGACTTGATAATCATTGGACTATCCAAATAATCTGAAAGTTAAATCCTTCCAGGGACAGTGAACTGAAAGCACAATTCTTTGCAGCTCAGATACCCATGCCGGGCTGCCTTCCTGGATAAGTTTGGTTAGCTTGTTGGCTGAGCATCTGATGGTGTGGTAAACTCTTTCAAACACATTTCTCACAAAAGTAAAAAAGTATGAGCTCATATTTTGAAAAATTAAACAGTGCTATTTTCTCCCCCAGTGCTCCTAGT